TTGTAAAAATATATACTCTCGTTTATAAAGTAAATATAAATTAATTTGATTGAGTATATTTGGTTCTTAGTAATTTGATTATTAATAAGTGAAATGCATGTGATGTTTACGAATTTAGATGATATTTTGATTTTTTTAATTTTATTTTGTCATTATGTGTGGATATTTTAGACTTTTCATAAAAGATATTTGACATTTTAGGAAGATGGTTGAGAAAGAAGACGAGAAGTAGAGCTATAAGTGTTGAGTCTCATAGACTCTTTGGATCAACAAAATGTTTAAGCTCATTAAAAATAAAAATCCTCATAATTTTGAGCTGAACTTTAATAAGAAAATATGTTTCGGATCAGAAAGAAAGTTAAAGAAAAACTTAATATGCCTTGCATATTTATCATAATTAGATCATATATTAACCAATTTAAGATTCAAGTTTCCATTAAATGATTCAACCGTCAAATCATTTGAATCAATTTTGAATTGATAAAAATATTATTATAAATAATTTTAATTGAATAAACTAAAAAATTATATTATAAGAATTAAAAACATTCCTTTATCATTTAAAAAATTACAAAGCAAACCAACTTTATAAAACATTTTTTAATGTTTAGTATTTTGAAATGTTTTTTATTATTTATTTTAACCTCTTTTAAAAAAAATATTTTTGGCTGAAAAAAAAAATGAAAGAACTAATAATTAGTAACCAAAAATTAAGTATAATTTAAAATCGTTTTTTTAAAAAATATTTAATTGATCAGGATCAATAAAAACTTTGATTAATTACGGGTTTTTCTAACATAACTTAAGATGATTGAATATATTTGGTTCTTAGTAATTTGATTATTTGTAAGTATAATGAATAAGAGGTTCAAGGATTTGGATAATATTTTGATTTGATTTGATTTTGTTTTATTTTATCATCACGTGTGAATAATTGAGAAGACTAAAAGTAAAACTATTTAAGGGTTGGTTTTATAGGTTTTTGGATTTAGCAAAATGTTTAAGCTCATTAACATTAAAATCCTCATCATTTTGAGTCGAACTTGGTAAGAAATTGAGTTTCAGATTAAAAGAGAAAGTAAGAAATTAAATATGCTTTGCATATTTACTATAATTGGATACATATTTACCTATTTAAGGTTTCAGATTTTGGATTAAATGGTTTAATTATCAAATCATTTCTAATCAATGTTGGATTGATAAAAATATTATTAAAATACATTTTTTTATTAGTAAATATTTTTTAATTGTATAAATTAAAAAAAAGTTATAAGAATTAATAATAGTCATTTTTCATTAAAAAAATTACCAAAAAAAAAAAAACTAACTTATAAAGCTTTTTTCTTTAATTTTAGTTTTTTAATTGTTTTTATTTTTTAACCCCTTTTAAGAAAATATTTTTTGGGTGAAAAAGAATGAAAGAATTAAAATTAGTATACCAAAATAAATATAAATTATAATATTTTCAAAAATAATTTTAATTAATCCAGATCAATAAAAACCTTGATGGGTTTTAGGCTCTTTAATATAATTTATTGTGATTGAGTACATTTGATTCATAGTAATTTGATTATTTATAAGTATAATGAATATGGGGCTTAAGAATTTGGATGATATTTTGATGTTATTTTATTTTATCATCATTTACGGATATTTTTATTTCTTTTTCATGAAAGATATTTGATTTTTTAAGAAGATGATTGGAGAGAAGATGAGAAATAGAGCTATTTGAGAATTGATTTTATAGACTTGTCCGGTAATTAAAAGGATTTAAAGACAGGTTAAGTTTATGGGTTTGTCAATATAATCAAAATTTGTCGATTTTATAATAAAGTTATAAAATATTATGATATTTTATAAAAATAATAAAATTTAAATATATATTTATATAAATTGATAGAACAAGTTAACAAATAAAATATAAAATATAAAATATAATTTTATTTATTTTTTAATTTAATAAATAATGATCATATTTGATGCGTAAAATTATTGATAGGATATGATAATAATTATTTTATATCATGTTTGATTTATATATAAAAAGAGGGATAGAGATTGTAAGTAAGATTAATATCCTCTTAATATAAGATTATTTAATCATTTTCAAGTAAAAATGATTATTTTTAATCAATGAGATTAAACTTACGTATCTAATTATATCCTTAAAAATTATTTTAATAATTTAAATTATATAAAATTTGAGAAAAGATAATTTTAATAAATAAATAAATTATTCTATCTTAATTCTTACATATATTAAACACAAAATATGATAATATTATTTAATTTAATTTTTTTTATAATATTATTTTATCATATCCTATCATAATTTTATGTACCAAATATAATCAAAAAAATTATATATTACATATTTTATACTTAATTTTATCTATTTTTATAACAACATTGAAATAAAAATTTAAACATAATTATATCATATCTTATTTTAATAAATAGTATTTTATTATTTCTATCTTATTAAGTGACATAAAATTAGAACAATTATTGCTCCTTTCATTGGGCTTGGGGCCCTATCTAAGGTCCAAAAGAAACCCATTACTTTAATTGCGTTACCTCTAGTGAAGCCCAATTACTTTCCTTTATTCCTTTGCTCCGTTTTTGGGCTTCGGTAATTTTTGAACTAAAAACTTACCACAGTCTATCGTGGTAATTCTATGAAAACAAAGTAACTTGCTTCAAAGGCAGCAACAGAAAAAGTTTATAACTTGCTTTCTGCTAGATTTTAATTAGGGACGCAATCAAACCCGTATCGGAGTTTCGGTTCGATCCGATTTTAGGGTTAAATTTTTTTTTTGAATTTCGAGTTTAAGGTTGAATCGGGTATAATTAGAAGCAGTCGGAGTCGAGTCGAATTCGGGTATGCCTAAAACCGATCCGACATTATATAAAAAATTATTTTTTAATTAATTATTTAATTATATATATTTATATAATTATATTTTTAAATATTTATATTTAAAAAATAATATTTTATATTTTAAAAAATAATATTTTATTAATTTCGAATCGGATCGTGTATAATTTACGTAGCATCGAATCGAGTCGAATTCGTATATAAAAAATCAAGTTCGGATTTAATAAACATAAAATCAGATCGGGTTCGAGACGAGCAAAATTCATCCCGAACCCGACCCGATGCTATCCTGATTTTAATAGCTTTTCCTTAATATGATGTATAAGTGTTTCTAAATATATTTTTTGATTCTGTATCGAAAAGCAAAATTTTTAAAAATAATTTAATAAAATTTAGACAAAATTTTGTAAACAATACAAGAAAAAAAAGTTTTCATTGGTATTTTATCAAACATTTCCTACGCACGCTTAGCCAGCATATAAGTATAAACAATGCACTATCTATACAGCCTAAAAACAAGAAGAACAGCAAAAAAGTTGGATTAAAAGCAAAACTTAGTAGATCTTTTGATAATTGCAAATTTTTCTTTCTTCACTTGGTATTCTTTTTTTTTT